TGTTCCCCATCAAAACAAAACAAAAAGCTTGGAAGGTATAATTAAACTGTGTTTAGACTAGGAGCGTACGCACATAAACAGGGGTTATGTCATGCTCCTGGAATATTACTGGTATCAGGACATCTCCTCCTTGGAGTTACTCAACAGTTGCACTTTGGCAAAGATACCCCAAGGGAAAAGGAGGCAGCTGTGCAACCAGACACATACATACATTCTTCAGATCGATTGGGGATTTTTGCTGCCAAAGTTAGAAGCAATGCCTGTCTGCTCTAATAGTAGCTACACCATGGTCTACTACCTCTTGCCCACATTGTTGTTACAGGTCGAGTACCACTACTACATCTGATAGTCCTGATGAGAAATCTGTACTTCAGACAAGAGGCCACTGCCAGAACAGAATATGGAGAAACTGAATGGTTCCCAAATGGCAAAAGGGGTCAAGCCAGGCTGCATTTTATCACCTTGCTTCTTAAACCTAAATGCAGAAAATATTGTACGAAGAGCAGGTTTTGACTGAGGAGGAGGAGGAGGAATAAAGATAGGAGGAAGGAATATCAACAATCTGAGAAATGCATTTGTGAGCTTGTCCATTGTATCTGTTAGCCAGAAGAATACACTTCCATTGTATCTGTTAGCCATTCATCAATGCATGGGGTTTCTTTCCATTTCTTGGAGATGGGACCCAAGTCTAAACAGTGAATCCATTTATGTTTCATGCACACCTTATAAACATAGCCTGAAGGTAATACATAATATTTGTTAATAATTTTGTGCATGAAGCAAAGTTTGTGCACACTGAACCACCAGAAAGCAAAGGTGCCACTCTCTCTTAGCCACCCATGACTTACTAAATAAATGAGGCTTGAAAGCACAAAAGGATATTATCTGATACCTTTCTCCATCACAAAGCATTCAAGGGTGCAAAAGGGCTTATGTGCATTCGTCGAATGTGTAAAATTGTTTCCAGGGAGGGAGTCTGTGGGAAGGAACATCCACCCTGAAAATTGTTTTCAGCTACACCCACGTTGTTCCCATTACGTTATTGTAAGTGGTTTTGAAAATCGAGACTTCCCTGTGCTCAATTTTTGGGCTTCCCCTCCCATCTTTCCCCTCTTCTCCAGCCCCACATTCTCTCAAATGTGTTGATTTTCTTCCTATCTTCTTTCCTGACTGTCCAGGAAAAAAGATAGGAAGAAAATACACACACACACAAACACACATGAATATATTTATCAATGCATTTGAGAGAATGTGGGGCTGGAGAAGAGTGCAATACACACACATATATAAACATACGGACAGTCAAGAAAGAGGATAGAAGGAAAACCAACGCATTTGAGAGAATGTGTTTCTGGAGAAGAGGGCTGAGGATCCCATGGAGGACAGCCAAAAGGACCAACAAAGGGGTCCTAGAGCAGATCAAGCCAGAAACATAAAAAACATATAAAGAGACCACGAATATGAGTTTTCAGAACAGGAGAGGACAGGGGGCCTGGAGATGTCTCATCCATAGGGTCGCCGTCAGTTGAGACCCATGCAAAGGCAGCTAACAACAAATTAGACCAATATTTCTATTGCAACAAAGCATTAAACAATAACAATAAAATTTAACAATAAAAGAACTTTCCACGCATTGGTTGTCTGCCTTTGCCACTATCTCACCGAACTTCACTAAATGCAATGGTGCTTTCTCGCTTCGTGAAACAACATCCGTCAAAGTTTTGTCTTAAAAAACTGAGATTCCTAGACTACGGTGCCAAAAGCAACAGCAGGCCTGGGATGAACTTTTGGATTTTGTGTCTGATGTCAGGGTTGTGGTATTTAGCAGTAAAATCTGCTGAGGATGAGAATACAACGTCCGCCTTGTATTCTGTCCTGTCTCCTTAATGCTTTTTAGCGTCAGCCATGTGTACAAACAAAGCTTGGAAATGTTGTTTTTTGGGATTGCAGCGCTCAGAATCTCCAGCTGGCCAGGAATGTTGGGACTTGCAGTCCAAAAAATAAAGCGAGACTTCCAAGTTCTTTTTTATTTCTTTCCAAAGTTGCAATTTTACATTCTTACACACTTTTAGTATTATTATATGAGACATGTGTTCATGTAACTTGTCTTCATTTTCATATTTGTCTTCTTATTTTCCTTCAGCTTAAGTTGTTGTTGACTTCCTATTCCCCACTCTCCGAAAATTGGCTTTCTTCCTTTTTCCCCCCCTCCTTTCCTTTTCTTCACCTCTTCTTTGGAGTCTCATTTTTCAAATAGAAAAAAAAAACACCAAACATGCTTACATTTCCACTAGTTTCTGTTGTTAACAGTCACTCTTTATATAATTAATCTCATGATAAGAACATGAAAATAATACTCGTGATCTATAACCAAAACTGTCCCCCTTTTTATCCTTCTATTACTTGATGTGTAATGTTTCGCTTCCCCCTTTTTTTACCTTTACCTTTATTTATTTTATATAGTTATTATTCCCCCCCTTAGTTTCTCTACTTTCTATCATTTCTATCATTGGTTTCCATTCTTTTTCCCATATATATATATATATATATATATATATATATATATATATATATATATATATATAAAATTGCTGTCAAGGTCCAGGTTCTAAAGGGCAACCCAACTGGAAGAAAGTCTCTCCTTATCAAATATGGGATGTTTTGCAAAATAATAGCCATCCTATTTCGCAGGTTGCCTAGAGATCTGAGCGCCACACCTGCCGTCCAACGCCAATTGCAGGACGATTGCACAAACGCAACGTGTGCCAACAAAGACATGGAAACAATGGCAGGACGCACATTCACAAAGCATCCGGAACACCAGCCGTCCTCATTTCCTGACAGGCGGAAAGCAAAAGAGCACCTGCCTGTTCTCTAAAGGACTGGAGTGCACCGTACCAGTCGTCTCCAGATTTGTTAAGATCCAAGAACCAACTTTTAATCTTAATTTAATTACTTGTGTATGAATGTTGCATGCCGTCAAGTCGTTTCCGACTTATGGCAACCCCATCATGGGGTTTTCTTGGCAAGTTTCTGCAGAGGCGTGTTGACATTGCCATTCTCTGAGGCTGAGAGAGTGTGACTCGCCCAAGGTCACCCAGTGGTTTTTCATGGCCGAGCTGGGATTCGAACCTTGGTCTCCAGAGTCGTAGTCCAATGCTCAAACCGCTACGCCACGCTGGCTCTCCATTTTTTAAATTTACCTTTGTTGTTTGTTGTTAACTAGCACTAGAGTCGACTCCGTCAGTGTGGATTGCAACAGCGCTATTGGAATATCATCTGTTCCTGGAGTCTGGTTTTTTTGCCATTTCTCTTATTGCAGTTCCCACCTCGCTTTTTAGAATTTGGAGTCCATCTTCATATGGCTCCACACTCCATTTGTCCTTCATTTTGTATAGTTCTTCTGTGCATTGCATCCATCATCTTTTTTATTCCTTCCTGGTCTTGAATTTTTCACCTTCCCTTTGCCGAAAACACGCAGCTATTTGAATGCATGCGAAGCAGACAAACGTCCAGAAGTGCAAAAATGTGCATTTCTGCAGGTAAAAACTGCAAGTTTAAGGAGTTTTTCCACAGGGAGGGTGCAAAAACAACAACACCCCAAACAAACCCAAAGCTCCTGCAAATCACATGTGGCTGGATCACATTCGGTTAAACTGGAACAAGGAGCATTTTAAACATGTAGACAAGCCCTTTTAAAGCGGAGTCTTGCAGCTTGCCAGCCAGCCAACATATTCACCCTTTCAACCCTGGTTTTCACACCTAGACTCACGACAGATTAGGGAAACCGCTGTAAAAACATGGAAGAGGCCTGGCTGGAAAGCCAAGGGCTTGCTTTGTTTTCTGTAAAGCCGGGTCAGTTTAGGTGCGGCTGCTAGTTCGAGTTTTCCCAACCTCTTTGCCAGGAGAAACATCGGAAGGACAACCTTTGCTCCCCAACTTTGCTAGCCAAAGGTTCAGGTGCGAACGGAGAAGAACCAGCTCTCCATCCAGATGTTGCTCGACAGTTGCAAAACCCAGCATCCCTCACCACAAAGGCTGATGGGAACTGCAATATCTAAGCCACAATTTACACCTCCTTGCTGCATGAGAAAATGTGCCCAAGAACTGTGGAATGACCCGAGATTGGGACACTGAATATGCCGTCCCAATTTGGAACAGTATTAAAGACCAGTTTCTTCCGGCAAGTGTATCCAGATGTCTTGCCTCTAATTTTAGCCAATTTGTTATTCCGCTTTTAATTAGTATTTTATATTGATATTCATTTTGTATTGTTATTGTTTTTAGTTTGCTTCTTTTTTATGATTGGGAGAGGGGTTGGGGTAGGGGATTATTTAGAAATATGGATTTTAATTGTATATTTGTATTTTATTGTTATTCTTATTTGTTGTAACCCGCCTCAATCCGCAGGGAGAGGTGGGCTATATAGTATATTATTGTTGTTGTTGTTGCTATTATTATTATTAAATATGGCCCCCAAAATACAAGGATAATTCTGAGATAACACATTTTAATACACTTAATACAATGGTATCTGCTGGGATTTGGTTCCAGGACCAATATCAATGGATCTTCAAGTCCCATTAAATACAATGGGTATTAAAGTGGTGTTGCTTCTATAAAATAGCAAAACCAAGGTTTACTTTTTGGAAATTTTATATATATATAATTTTTTCAAGCTGTGGATTCTTGAAGCCATGGATGCTTGAATTCATGGATACGAAAGGCCTAATTGTTTTATTCTTGGATCCTTCCAGCTCAATTGAAAGCTCAGACATTTTGTATGCGAGAGTCTACAGGTAGCAGCATGTTCAGCTGCCAAGGGCAGTCTGCCCATTAATTCACTGGAATTAGAGAATGCATAATAAACCTTTTGCGCAGAGCTGGGTTCATGCACAGACATGATCCACGTTTGCTGGAAAAGTCTACTGGGCTAATGCTGGTTTCTAGCCAGCCTTCTCCTCCAGCGCCGGTGGTTTTAAATAGCATCTGAGAACAGTCCATTAGCAGTATTGATTGGCGAGAGACGATATGCTTTTAGTCGATGGGAGACTCAAAGCGGTTTTGACGTCGTCTTCGGAAGGCTGCCTCCCATCCTTCTTGGAGGAGAAACGAGAAAAGAAAAATGGAGTAAAAAATGGTGCTGTCAGACTGCAGAAGGACACAAGCCATGCATTACTGTGGGTCTGAATAATTTATAGACTGCTTTAGCTCCTGTTGGGGATTCTGGGAGCTGTAGTCCTCAAACAGTTCTTTTCTCAGCTCTGCCTGACAAGTTCCCGAAGATCGTAAGACTCAGGATGGAATTTCAGCAAGGGAATTATAGTGATCCCTCTACATTTCGTTGGGGTTAGGGGTGAAGAAGCCCCATGAATGTGGGAAAAAATACAAATTAAAAAAACCTAAACACTATTCTTTTTACCTAAGAGAACAACTCTCTAGGAATCTCCAAGTCCTCCAATGCAACTCTATAATCAACATCTGTCAGAGGTTGATCATAGAATCCTGCTGGAGGACCTATGAATGCCTAGAGAATCTGGCAGAGTTGTGCTGGAGGACCAAGAGATTCCTAGAGAGAATATATTTATCAAAACCGCAAATACTCAAAGCCGCAAAAGTCAAAGCTGCAAATGGGGAGGGCCAACTGTATATCCTCCTTTTACAGTTGAGTAGCACCCAACCCTGTGTTATAGTGGTTTCAGTGTTGGACTACAACTCTGGAGACCAGGGTTCAATTCCCAGCTTGGCCATGAAACCCACTGGGTGACCTCGGGCAAGTCAAGCTCTCTCAACCTCAGAGGATGGCAATGGCAAACCTCCTCTGAACAAATCTTGCCAAGAAAACACCAGGATAGCTTCGTCTTAGGGTTGTCATAACTCGAAAATGACTTGAAGGCACACAACAAGAGCACAAAAACTCAATTCCAACCAGCCCTGAAAGAATGGGGAGAGGAAAGAGGGTGGAGAGTTAGTTACTCAAAAATGCACAGGTCACCTTTGGAGGCTTGTCAGCCAAACACTCCCTAAATAGAGGGTTTATGCATTCACAACGGAGTCAGAAGCAAAAAGTAAACTTTATAGACAAGTCGTTCAGAAAATGCCTCCATTGTTCAGGGCACGGGTTCTCTCTTGAGCAGACAGAAAGCTATGCTTTGCCTTCCCCACCCTCCTAACTCAGCACATGACTCACCGCAAAAGCATTTCTCGAGTAGGAGGGTCACAGACGGGGATTTATGGTTTTGAACTGAATCTAATATTTAGCAATCAGTCTGAGCAAACTTTGCCCCTTGCGATTAAGGAACCAAGCGAACTCACAGGAAGGAAGGGGCAGAGAGAGAAGAAGGTGTCTGTTGTGGCAACAGCAAGTCAACAAGGCAACAAGGTGAATGAAAAAGGTGTTAGCATGTGTGCGTTCTCTGCTTCACAAAATCTACATACAGATTTGGGCTGTTGCTAGTGTTGCAAACAAGACAGCTGCTTCTCTCTCTCTCTCTCTCTCTCTCTCTCTCTGTTTCATTGATTTATTTATTTGGATGTAAGTTAATCCTAGCAAAATATACAAAGCTTAGTGAATTGCTTTCACTGCTGGACTAGGACTTTGGGAAACCAGGGTTCCAATCACTGCTCTGCCATAGAAACCCACTGGGTGACCTTGGGCAAGTCACACTCTCTCAGCTCAGAGGAATGCAAACGGTGGCGGAGCTGAAGATTTGGGTGGCCAATGGGGGTCCCAAGGGCCACAGGACACCCAGGCTGCACAGTTCCCATCCCTACCTAGTTTAGGGCATCGGCACTACACAGAAACAACCAGACTGAAAAAGATTGAATGATTTCTTCATTTCACCATACAAAACCCAGATGTATTATTCACAACAGATGAACAGGAAACATAAAACAAACCACAACAACAACGGAACAGATGGGGGGGAGGACAAAGTCAAAGGGAATGAATTCTGCAATCTGCATGTGGGGCAATTTAACAGATTGCATGACCAAAAAAAGAGCCCAGCAATGAACACTTTAAAGGGATTTTGGCCAAGATCCTATCCAAAGGTGGTGGACCATAAAGCTCCACCAGTATACCTATATGGAAACCGTTACTGGGAATGGAATGTAAAGGTAGCATGCCAGCCAGTGTCATGACAGACAAACAGAAACAGATCCGGAAATCCCTCAAATTCAAACAGAGAGGTGGAGGAACCATGCCTGTTTCAGACTTTGTAAGATCATCACCAATTGCAAGAAAACTCCTCTGATGTTCAGCAAGCCTGCTCACATTCATTTGCTGCAACTTTTGCTCAGAAAGAGCAATCTCTGGAGGGCTGCTTCTGCCCTACACTTCCTGCACAGAAACAAATCCACATCTGAATTTCCCCCCCATCTTTACTGCTAAAAATGTTTAAAAGGTTGCAGAGCAACAATCCCTCTGATTCTGGACTTTCTGTCCAGACCCACTAGTGTTCTCTCCAGGATTCTTATCTTTTTGCTAATCAAAAGGTTGCTCTGTGCCTTTTAAGCCTTTGCCCTGAAGAGATCTCTCATTTCCTCCCGCATGACTAAGTCTTTTCATCTTTGGGTTCTTTCCAGAATTTCCAGTTGGGCCCCCAGTTGGCCTGTCTGTAGATATTCCTCATTGCGGTCTTGTTCTGGGCAGCCCCACGTCTTTTCTGGAAAGGATGAGTTGGCGGGGCATTGTTGTTGGTTTCCATGGGGAGCTGCTCTCTGCGGATGGGTGTGTCGGGGAGTGCTTCGGCCCCACTTGCCTTGGAGTGAAAAGAACATATAAAATAAGAAAGAAATGTTTAAAAAGAAGGAAGGATGGACAAGAAAAAGAGGAATCTCTTTCATATATCAGTTAAAGCTCAGGAGGTTGAGATTCTTGAAGAGAGACAGTGTGTTTTGTAGTGGTTTGAATGCTGGACACCCCGAGACCAAGGTTCAAATTCCACACTCATCCCTGGAAACCCAATGGATGGCCTTGGGCAAGTCACTCTCTCTCAGCCTCAGAGGTAATGCAGGCAAACCTCCTCAGAATAGATCTTGCCAAGAAAACCCAAAGAAAAGGTCACCATAAACTGGCATGTTATAACAGCATTTTGAACCAGTGTGGTCTAGTGTTTTGTGTGTTAGAATCGTAGAGTTGGAAGAGACCTCAAGGGCCATCCAGTCCACTGAGTTAGGACTTGAGAGACCAGGGTTCAAATCCTCATTTAGTCATGGAAACTGGGTGACCTTGGGCACCTCAACCTCTCTCAGCCTGAAAGGAAGGCAATGACCAACTTCCTCTGAAGAAATATTGCCACGAAAACCCTATTTTTTAAGTGTCAGTATGGTTTTATGGCTTGAGTATTGGACTAGGTTTCTGTAAAACCAGGGTTCGAATCCCTATACAGCCATGGAAATGCACTGAATGATCTTGGACAAGTTACACTCTCTCAGCCTCAGAGGAAGGGCACGGTAAACCCACTGTGAAGATACATTATCAAATAAACCCTAGGCTAGGTCACCATATATCAGAGTTAACTTGAAGGAGCATAACAACAATATGCTAAATTTCTACTTATTTCTGGATAATATTCAGCCAAAATATCTCCCTTCTTGCCTCCCCAAACAGTTAATGCCCAAGAAAATTATAAAAATATACAACATAGTGTCATGAAGAACAGGACACTCAAGCTTTCATTATTACTCACCCACAAAATATGGAAGGAATGAGTTACATGTTATGCTTGGTGCTGTGTTTTCTTCCTCATGATTTTTATTATGCTTTATGCTGTTTTTACATTGTATTACATTGCTTTTATTTATTTATTTTCAAATCAGGGCTTGGCTGTTTCTTCAATGGTTCTTTGACACTGTAACAAATTATATCTTAGATATATTCTGTTGTAAGCTGCCTTGGGTTGTGTGTGGATATAAAGGTATGATACAAACAAATAAAACAAGTCCTTCTTTCGGTTAATGGAGGTATAACCAGGGGTACACCTACACTGTAGAAGTAATGCAGTTTGACACCACTTTAAGCGTTGTAGCGCCATCTTGTGGAATCCTGGGATTTGTAGTTTTAGATGCCTTTAGTCTTCTCTGCCAATGAGTGCTGGTGCCTCACAGAACTACAAATCCCAGGATTCTGGAGGATGGGGCCACGGCAGTCAAAGTGGTGTCAAACTGCATTAGTTCTACAGTGTAAATGCACCCGATGTCACATTTCAAAAGTAATGCAACAAGGGAGAATTATAACTTTACTGTTATAATCACTTAGTTTTTAAGAGATGCTTTTAAAGGTCATTTTGACAGGGATTTCTTTAATTCTCCTCCCACTCTCTTACCTATCCCAAATTCCCATGCCTCCCAAAAATCCCAATCCCTCAGAAAAGTAACAAGTAATGAAAACAGTAATTTATCTAGATATTATATCAGGTAACAGCAATGAATTATGCTTGCATATGTCACTAACAGGTGAGCCAGCATGGTGTAGTGGATTGAATTACTAGGATTCTGGAGACCAGGGTTCGAATCCTTGCTCAGCCATGGAAACCCACTGGGTGACCTTGAGCAAATCCCACTCTCTCAGTCTCAGAGGAAGGCAAAGGCAAACTTCCTCTGAAGAAATCTTGCCCAAAAAAACTGTGATAAGGTTGCTTTAAGTCAGAAATGACTCGAAGACACACAACAAGAACAACGTCACTAACTGGATGATGGCCACAGTGTGTGAGAGAGAAACTCCCTAAATACCACTGTTAATATGTCCAGTAGCTATGCTGGCTGGGGGACTTTGGGAGTTGTAATCCAGAAGATCAACTTTTCCAAGCTCTGGTGGAGAATCATAGTGGATGAGTCATAATAGCGCTGGACTTAATGTACACATTGAATTCTTTATTTTCCACAATGTGGTTAGACTTTCTCTACTGCTTTGAGTTACAGCTGGAAGAGACTGGGAATATATACATCCAACTGAGCTGCTTTGATTACAGAGAAACAAGAGGAGGAGAAAGAAAGAAGCCACCCACGTACAGTTATATGTTTGTATCTGGAAAATCAACATGGCATTTTCATAACACTAGGGCTCTAGAAGGTAAGGTACATAGCTCTTGCTTTTAAAATGGAAGAAGATGACATTCTCCCCACCACCACCTCCAAACAGAGCCTTGTATCACACACAGATTTACCATGGGTGTGACATCAAACTATCCAATATGGTGACCTCATCATTAGAGTTGCTATGGGGGATTTGCTATGACCTTCTTCTGAGGCTGAAAGAGTATGACTTGCCCAAGGTCACTCAGTGGATTTCCATGGCCATTTGGGGATTTGAACCTTGGTTTCCAGAGTCCTAGTCAAACACTCAAACCACTATACCTACCTCACTGGCTCAGTTTTTTTGGCCAGGTTTATTCAGAGGTTTCCAATTGCCTTAAGACACTTTGAGAGCCTTTGTGGCTGAAGAGCAGGGTATAAATACTCTAAATAAATAATTCCTCTGAGGTTGAGAGAATGTGACATGCCCAAGGTGGTCCAGTGAGTTTCCAGGGCTGCATTTGAACCCTGATCTCTGATATGCGTAATACCAGACTCACCTTCTCATTTTTTGCTGTGTCCAACTGCTTTGGTGGGAAAGTGCATGGGACCCATCCTTGAGCAAAGTGATACGGTAAAGGGATGTTGGGATCTAGCGGGACCCAGGGAACCGAAAGGGTTGATGGGACATCAGGTAGATCAGAGTGAGCGGCATGCAGGTTGTACGTCACTC